TTGACAAGTAAGTCCTTAACTTTCACATTCCACTTGGAGTTAATATTGTACTACTTAACATAAAATGTAGAAACCTGACCACTATGTGGATTCTCTTATCCTCATCCTTTATGCTGTGGTTGACATGTATAAGTATGTACATTATTGACCCCCAAAACAATGTTGTGGTTTTTGCTTTAAACAAGTATATAGAAATACCGTGGCTTTCAATATCATAATATATTTACCTATCTTCACACAATAAGACACACAAAGTAGTGCCTTCAGTGTAGCATTACTATTTTTCCTTCTGGAAATAATAAATAACTTGTGGGAAGATACCACAAATATCCTGTTTCTTCCAACTTTTGCCTACTAGTTTTCGTGTCCATTGATGATTCTCACTTGAATCAGTTATTACTCAGATGGTTGCCAAGTGGTTATTTGCTTTTACTTTTTTAATAGGAGACTATTGAACATTTTGTTAATACTATGATATACTGGGCATAACAGTCTAAATTGCATTATCTGTTACATCATTGACAAAATACAGTGCTTACAGTTTTACAATTAATAGAGTATGTACTTTTTTGTTTGCATATTCCCATAAGCCAAGAATTTTGAGGTTTGCTTTCTGTAATTTGAGAAAATAAATAATATGTATGTTAAGCATATTGAATATTTTTTCAAACCATAGAGCCCTTTTGATATTATCTTCCTTCCCAAGCTCCCTAATTTGACAATTGCTCATTTGGATTATAAGATTCTGTTTGTTTCAGTCACTTGGCCTTGGCTCTCTCAGTGATCTCCAATAAATATTAAATGCATGTTACCTGTAATGATAAATATTTTGAGTTAAGAAACTGATTGTATATTTTTAGCATTCACTGAGTTTACACTCAAGATAATAAATTTTAAAGAAATAATTAAGATGAACAAAAAAATATGACCTATGCCTTTAAAAGGTAGATGGTTTATTTTATTTTTATAATACCGATAATGAGCCTGATAAGTACTTGAAATCGCATGCCTCTGTAATCCATAAGTTGAGAGGAAGCATTGAAAAATTAAAAAAGCATGGGTTCTTTGAGATGCACATGTCCTATCTGGTCTTCTCAGGAACCCTTATCTCTGCCATCTTTTTAAAGGCAAATTTTAAAAAGATGGTAATTTAGAACTTGACTTGTCAAGGATAAATAGAAATCTTAAGTGTCTTTTCTGTAAACACTAGTGAAAAGGGTTTAGCCATCCAGGTAGGTGACCTTGATTTGTTCCATCTGCTAGAAGCCCAATTTGAATCCAACCCCTTGTAACTGATGGCTTTTATGTTGTACCTGACTGAGGGCTGAAATCTTGAATGGGAACTATGAGGCCTCTGTGTTTGTTGTGTGTTCATATGTATCTATATGTGTGTTGTAGGTGTATGATATTGCCAAAAATGAATTCATAAGAGAGCTCTACTTAATTGGCATTAAAAAAAAATTAGGTGCTTATATAAATACTCAAATAAAAAACAATCTAGCCAGAATGAATTTTCAGGTTCATGTCATCTGGAAACTGATATCTGGCATTGAAGGTGTATTAAGCTTGTTGGTTTGATTAATATAGACATGTTTCTAGAGTCATCAACGTTAAACATAATACTTCTGTTGTACCTTGGTTTATTAGAGGTCAAATAAGACCTTATTCTATCTGTTACAAATTTGTCAACAAGAAAGATAACTCAATGTGAAAAAACTTTTAAGAAAAGTAAGATACGTGTTTTTAGTAAAAGAAGTGAGGATGAAAAATACTGAAAAGAGTTATGCATGATTAGGATTTTGTAAGGTTGGATTGAATTTAGTTGGTAAATGGATTTTGTTAGGAATGGGCTAGAACAAGACTGGATTTGGTTTCTCCCTCCGAAGTATTCTTGAAATGCTTCTTTTGACAACAGATTTATGTGAGTTTCTTTGACTTTAAGTGACTTGTGTTTGCTTTTGAGCTCTTTTGTAACTTTGGCTAAGAAATAAGTATTGTCTCACAGTGACCTATGATCCTATTTGACCAAGTGTTTTAAAACTGTTTGAAAAACTTCCCAAATACCAAATTTTAATTGTTTCTTTTGATTTCCAGCTAACTTTGGGGTACTTTAGAGGGCCCCTGAGGTATGTTAAAGAGAAATATTTAACTAGGATTATTTGGTATGTTAAGTTAAATGTAATCAGTCGTAATTCTGTTTTTTATAACCAAGTTTCTTTATCGATTACACTGTAATCAGACGTTTTACCATGCCTTTTAAGTCTTTTGTCATTTATAGATATTTTTGTACTCTGAAGCTGTTACAAAAATTGCTTCATCATCAAGGAGATTCATAGAAGGGCTATGGAAACAGTTTTTCCACACCAAGATGATGGCTATGCGAGGATTCCAGCCTATACCAACTTAAAACAAGGTTTCCTGCCCCTGGGGCCCCTAGATCAGGCATCCAGAGATTTTTACTCCCTGACAGGTAGGGTCGACGCTCCTACTCAGCCTTGAAGCAGTTACAGAAGACAGACCATCACCCTTCTGCTTCCCATAAGAATATGGGAGTAAAATCTCTGAGGGGGGAATGAAACAGGAGGAGGCAGGGCAGAACCTTTGAAAGAATGATACAGCCCAAGGACACAACATAAACTGATTAGAACCAAATGGATCCAAGATGGCAGACAAGTAGACTTCCACTAGACCTTGAGCCTCAGTATACACTCACATCAGCAAGCTAAATGACACACCCACAAGCACCGTGACAGTTCCAAGACTGACCATAAGGATCAAAAAGTAGGCGGTGGCCCAATTCCTGGAAATCCCTGCCCCTTCCTAAAATAGAATACTCCTCCCACTCATTAGCCTATGAAATTACCCACTCCTATAAAAACTGACAACCCCATACCCTGGTGCCTTTCTCACCTGAGAGGGCCCACACTCTGGAGTGTGTTTCTAAATAAATCCACTTCTTAACTAAAAAAAAAAAAGGGTTCCTTTGAATCTGCAATTTACTTTGAAGTTTTATGCAGTCTTACTCTGCTTAGCATTTTGTAGCTAATTGACTTTCTTCCTGTCGTACAAAGAGGCCTATTTTGTTTATGCTTGTGTTTATCTAAGCATTTCAAAAATACCCTAGAGAAAACATAATTATCATCATGAATGAAGAAGTACCTTAATTCTCAGAACCCAGCTTTTTTGCACATTGAGCCACAAATAGCCCTTCATAAAGAAACTAAATGTGAAAAGAAGTATCTTTCATCCCAACTAAATGCACTTTTTTTGTTATCTAATTCCCCAAGGACCCAGCATTCATATGCTTTTTTTTTTTTGGTTTTTTAAAAAATTTATTTTCTTGAAGTATAGTTGATTTACAATGTTGTATTAGTTTCTGGTGTACAGCAAAGTGATTTAGTTATGTATATTTTTCAGATTCTTTTGCATTATAGGTTATTACAAGATACTGAATATAGTTCCCTGTGTTATACAGTAGGACCTTGTTTATCTAGTTTATATATAGTGGTTTGTACCTGTTAATCCCAAACTCCTAATTTATCCCTTCCCACCTTCCCCTTTGGTAACCGTAAGTTTTTCTATGTAAGTCTGTTACTGTTTTGTAAATAAGTCCATTTGTATCATATTTTAGATTCCACATATGATATCATATGATATTTGTCTTTCTCTTACTGACTTCACTTAGTATGATAATCTCTAAGCCATCTATGTTGCTGCAAATGACATTATTTATTTACTTTTTATGGCTGAGTAGTATTCCATTGTGTGTGTGTGTGTGTATACCACATTTTCTTTATCCATTCATCTGTCAAAGGACATTTAGGTTGCTTGGCTATTGTAAAACATTGGGATGCATGTATCTTTTCAAATTAGAGTTTTCTCTGGATATATGTCCAGGGGGAGATTGCTAGATCATAGGATAACTGTTTAGTTCTTTAAGGAACCTCCATACTGTTCTCCATAGTGGCTGCACCAATTTACATTCCCACCAACAGTGTAGGAGGGTTCCTTTTTCTTCACACCCTCTCCAGCATTTGTTATTTGTGGACTTTTTAATGATGGCCATTCTGACCAGTGTGAGGTGATGGCTCGTAGTTTTGAGTTGCATTTCTCTGATAATTAGTGATGTTGAGCATCTTTTCTTGTGCCTGTTAGCTATCTTTATGTCTACTTTATAGAGAAATGCCCATTTAGCTCTTCTGCCTATTTTTTGATTGGATTGTTTGTTTTTTTGTTATTGAGTTGTATGAGTTGTTTGTTTAGTTTGGAAATTAAGCCCTTGTTTGGTCACATCATTTGCAAATATTTTTCTCCCATTCTGTGAGTTGTTTTTTTGTTTTGTTCATGGTTTCCTTTGCTGTGCAAAAGCTTGTAAGTTTGACTAGGTCCCATTTGTTTATTTTCGGTTTTATTTCTTTTGCCTTACAAGACTGAGCTAAGAAAACATTGGCTACAGTTTATGTCAGAGAATGTTTTGCCTATGTTCTCTTCTACGAGTTTTGTGGTGTCCTATCTTGTATTTAAGCCTTTAAGCCATTATGAGTTTATTTTTGTGTATGGTGTGAGGGTGTGTTCTAACTTTATTGATTTACATGCAGCCGTCCAATTTTCCCAACACCACTTACTGAAGAGATTTTGTCTTTTCCCCATTGTATATTCTTGCCTCCTTTGTCAAAAGATTAATTGACCATAGGTTGTGTGGGTTTATTTCTGGACTTTCTATTCTGTTGCATTGATCCATGTCTGTGTTTGTGCCAATACCACACTTGTGATTATTGTAACTTTGTAGTATTGTTTGAAGTCTGGGAGGGTTATGCCTTCAGCTTTATTCTTTTTCCTCAGGTTTGCGTTGGCAATTCTGGGTCTTTTGTGATTCCATATAAATTTTAGGGTTATTTGTTCTAGTTCTGTGAAAAACGTTATAGGTAGTTTGATAGGGATTGCATTAAATTTGTAGATTGCTTTGGGTAGTATGGCCATTTTAAAGATACTAATTCTTCCAATCCAAGAGCATGGGATATCTTTCCAATTTTTTAAATCATCTTCAGTTTCCTTTATCAATGTATAGTTCTCAGCATATAAGTCTTTCACCTCCTTGGCCAGACTTCTTTAGTGTAAAGAAACGCAACAGATTTATGTATGTTAATCTTGTATCCTGTTACCTTGATGAATATGTTTATCAGTTCTAGTTTTTGTGTGGAGTCTTTAGGGTTTTCTGTATATACTATCATGTCATCTGCATATAATGACAGTTTTATCTCTTCCCTTCTAATTTGGATACCACAGAGGGTTTTTTATATGAAGTCTAGCCAGTGCTGAATAAGAGAATGACATTTTCAAAGTCAATAGAGTAGGTTGAGTTACAGTTTCATTATGTTATTAGAAACTAATTTTTCACTAAGTAGCTGAGCATTTGGCAGGGATTTAGTAGTGAACATGATTCTGCCTCTCTGTTAACATTATGTACACACTTATTCCAAGAGTTATATTTCACCTCACTTATCTCAAAGAGCCAAAAGATAACAACGTATTAGAGTAGCCTTATTCTTTTTGCAAACTTCAAATAAAAAGGCTTATGATTAGCCCTTAGAAAAGACAACACTGTTCATGTTCAGTTAAGCAGGGTTTTTCTTTACCCAAAAGTAAAGACTAGTATTAACTACTACAAACTAATTTCTATAAAGCTCACAGTTAATCAGCATGTTAGAGCTCTGGATTCTTAAAGAACAGTGAGCCCAGGCCTCATGCGTTTCACAAAGATATTTAAACTTTATATTGCATTTTCTGAAAAAAGACCCGATGATTCAAACAAACTGATATGTGATTAAAAAAACATGTATTATGGGCAGTTTCACTTCTGGGAATTTATCATAAGGAAATAAGGATGTGCACTAAGATTTAGGTACAGTAATATTCATTACAGCACTGTTTATTGTGGCACAAAATTGGAAGCAATCCATGTATACAGTTAGAGGAGTAAAGTACATTCATTCAATAGAATAATGTGTTGCCTTTCAAAAACAAAGATATTGAAATGTATAAGTACATGGAAAGAGATTCCTGTTGTGTTAAGTGCAAAAAGCAGGAAACCAGACTATTTGTAAACAAGGATTCATTTCTCTGCCTATCTTTAGGATATAAATATATATATCTTGTAGGTGCATATAAATATGTATGTGTACATATACATATTATAAATGATGAAGTGGTTGCCTCTGAGTAATGAAATTGTTTATTTACATTCTAAAATTTTAAAATAAATTTAACTTTTTAAAACCACGTTTCAACACGAGTTTTATAACCACATCTAAATTTAACTTTTGGCTCTACGTAAAGAAAGTTTCATCAATAAAATTAGGATAATACATACTTCATAGTATTGTTATATTTTTTAAAAAACATAAAGGGCATGGCTTTTAGTAGTTTCTCAATAAGTGTTTATCTAAACCCTTTTGGAAGAATGGAATAGAAACCTTTATTTCCTTTGTCCATGGTTTCTTATTTCTCTGCAAACCTATAGCCAATTATAGAAAGTAAAATTAATGGTAGAGATTCTGCATTTTCAAAAGTAGTGCAGGGTGGTGAGGTTAGTACTAGGAGTTAAATCAATTCAAAGTATTCTTGTCTACACCTAGGGGTAACATTTTATTGACTAAAGTTAGTCTACTTGCTTTCCTACTTAATTTACTTCTATGAGCAGTGTTAAGTAAACATTTTTCTCTTAGAAAGAATTATCCTTCATACTTTAAATCAACCTTCTCTTGGGTGTCATAGCCTTCTCCAACTGATGAACATATTTACAAAATTTATTATGAAGCACATTGTTATTTTATTTCCTGGAAGAGAGTACGAGGGAAAGACACAGTTGAGAAAAGTTTGCCAAACTTTAATAACAAAACAATATGTCTAGGATTTGGATCCTGTTATATTCCTAGCTCTTTTGGTAGATTTATGGACGCTAAAAGCAAACAAGCTTTAAAAAGATACTTGGCTACTTAAGCCACATATTTGTAACAGCCTAATTGATTTTCCACTTAATATAGAATTTGCTTATTCTCTGTTAATATTTCTATTTAGAAGTGTCAATTTCATGTTATCCTCTTTTAAAAAGTCCAAAAATGTTTAGGGCCATGTATTCCAAAGTAAAGGTTTATACATTTGTGTTTACAGAGATAATGAAAATATAAAAGTTTAGTTGTAATATCAAGGAAGGGTTAAAGAATATTGGAAATCTATATAGAATCAAGAGGAGAGATACTGTAACGTGGTCAGAGATGTTTGAAACTGGCTGTGTAAAAATACCAAGAGAATAAGCAAGGTCACCCTGAACCATTTAGTCTGAGTGGCATTTCATGCAAATACCCTTGAGCTTGAGGTTAGACTGATTGAAGCCATGACTTGAATTGCTGCTGTCTTTGAGCTGCTGATCTCAGAGACTTGAGGTATTGATGTTGTGGATGGATCCAAGTAGTAAAATGTCTCATTTGCTATGACGCCTGCGTGGGTACTTAACTTCTGATCATTCTGCTAATATTTCCAGGGGCTGTGTTTCTTTGTAAGGTTAGTTCAGCGATGATTACATATTAATCAAATGTATTTATGTTCTTTTTGGATCTCTTCCATTCTGTGGACAATAGTAGCACCTTAATTTTAACAACTGTGATATTCTCTATTTGGGGAAGGGGTGGGTGATAGGAATAGATTATATAAACACATGGTGCAAAATTCAAAATTTAAGAAAAGATACATGAGCTTTTCAGTTTCAGCTTCGACATGTAAAGCTTGGAAGCTGTCTCTTCTACCGTCACAACAAGAAAAAACTGAACAAACTGAAAAATCAATGGCTTTTTTAGATCCTTTGGAGAATTGGGGTCACAGGACTAACCACCACCTCAAAAACAGGAGAGATAAATGAATGCAGAGAATATAGATCAACCTACCTGCAGCAAAAGCATGATGGGAACCCTTAAATAATAACTTTGGTAATTGCGAGAGGCTGTGTGAACTAGCTTGAGAGTTATAAACTTCTGGGAACCATCATGCTTTTACACTTTCCTGAGTTTTACCTCTGGGAGCCCCACCACGTTCTCACAGAGGAAACTTCCCCATGTTTGGCCTGGAGGAGAGGGAAAGTAACCCTTTCGAAATAAGCCCAGAACATTCTCCATAACAAAGTCCTATCAGACAAGGAAAAAACTGAAGCCTTATCAGGCTTGGAGGAAGGGTAATTACCTAACTCCAGTCCCTTTTAGAACTTCAAGTCTCACCTAAGGGAGAAAAAATGCTGAGAAGCACTTGTAAAGGTTACAGCCCAGGGACACAGGACCACTCAATGAGAGTGGTCATCGCTACTGATCTCATTAATATGAAAAGGATAGTAAAGGAATATTATGAGCATCTATCTGTCTACAAATTTAATGACCTAGATGAAATGGACCAATTTTGTGAGAGAGACAAGCTAAAATTCACACAAGAAGAAATGGATACTCTGAATAGGACTGTATCTATTAAATCAATAATTACTAACCTTCCAAAACGGCATCAGGCCAAGGTGGTTTCACTGGTGAATTCTACCAAATATTTGAGAGAAATGATACAATTTTTCTACAATCTCTTCCAGAAAATAGAAGCATATCATTCTGTGAGGCCATCATTACCCTAATACCAAAACCAGACAAACATTACAAGAAGACCAATATCATGAACCAAAGATATAGTCATACCTTGGAAATATTGCAGATTGAGTTCCAGACCACTGCTAATAAAGAAAAGATCTCAATAAAGTGAGTCACAAATTTTTTGGCTTCCCAGTACATGTAAAAGTTATGTTTATACTGTAGTCTATTATGCATGCAATGGCATATGTCTTAAAAAATGTACATCATTTAAAAATCCAAACCGAAAACAATTACAATAGTAACATCAAACATCACCAAAACAAACATAATGATGGAAAAGTTTGAAATATTGTGAGAATTATCAAGATGTGATACACAAAGTGAACAAATGCTGTTGGAAAATAACACTGATACACTTGCTCAACGCAGAGTTGCCGCAAACCTTCAATTTGTAAAACATGCAGCATGTGGGAAGCGCAGTAAAGTGAAACACAAGAAAATGAGGTATGCCTGTACAAAAATCCTCAACAAAAATTAGCAAATTGAATCCAACGTTTGAAAAGAATTATAAGCCACAACCAAGATGATTTAATAAGTAAATTGTTACATCCATACAATGGAGTATTATTCAGCAATAGAAAGAAAGGAGCTATCATGCCATGAAAAGACATGGAGGAAACTTAAATGCATATTGCTAAGTGAAAGGAGTCAGTCTGAAAAGGCTACATACTGTATCATTCTCTAAAAATTAATAAACAGGAATCTCAATTAAAATAAAGTCAGGAGGCCAGAAGGGGGAGCTCCTACACCCTACAACAATAGCAGAGCCAACAGGAAAAAGAAAGACTTCCTCTTGTTTCCTGGCAACGACTCAACCAATGAAAAGCCATGGACTCTTTGTTTACTATAGCCCTCCCAAGTCCCTTTTCCCCTCTATAAAAGAGCTCTTCCCTTACTGTGTGAGGAATTGGCGCTTGGCTCACTAATGTTGCAAACCCTAAATTGCAATTCTTTGTTGATCCGAATAAACCAATTTTTGCTGGAGAAACAACTAGCAGTTTGTTTTAGATCAACAATTCTAACCACATGACATTCTGGAAAAGTAAAACCTAGCAACAGTAAAAACGGGTTGCCAGAGGTGGGGGTGAGAATAGCAGGAAGCATGGCTAAGTAGGTGGAGCTTAGGGTTTTTTTAGGGAAATGAAACTATTTTGTATGATACTGTAATAGTGGGTACATGACGTTCATTTGTCAAAATCCATGGAACTCTGCAACACAAAGAGTGAACTTTAATGTAAACTGTAAACAATGGTTAATATATCAGTATTGGTGCATCAGTTGTAATAAATATATCAGACTAATGCAAGGTGTAAATAATAGGGGTCCCAAGAAGTGGGTAAGTAATAAAAGTGTATTATTTTTAAATGTTAAGAAAAGATACATGATAATTATTCCCTTTCACTCCTCTCTCTTAGCCATGTAGTTCTCCACAGAATCACTCACTAGTTACTGGTTTCTTTATATAGTCTTAAATAGAGGTATAATACATATGAACATGTATATGCATATACATGTTTTTGGTGGGTTACAGAAATGAAAACATTCTATACATATTGTTCTATACCTTCCCTTTCTCAACACACAATATGTAGGAAAATGTTCCAGGGTATCAGCATGCGTAGAACTTCTTGATCATTTTTGACAATTTCATAATATTCCACTGATAGATATGCCATCATTATTCAACTCATATTAATGAATACAAATTATTTTTCATAATTTGTATTCATTACAAATTTGCTATAATGAAGACTCTGCAATTAATATCTTTATATGAATGTCATTTGAAGTAGGATTACTTAGTCTAAATATATGTGCATTTCAGAATATCCCACCAGCAATGTTTGTTTCCCCACATCCTCATCATTTTATTGTAAGCAAACAGTATCACTTATTATGGTGTTAAACTTTTCATGGCTCTTGTACATGTAAAAATTACTTTTCTTCTGTTTCCTTTTCTGTAAATTGCTTAACCCCTTTCCAGTTTTTTCTCTTGGGTCATCCATTATTTTCTTATTGGATTGCAGACAGTCTTTAGTAAGTAAATTTTCTAATTACCTATGATAAAAGTTGCAAATATTTTCCCCAGTTAGTTAGCTGACTTTTGACTTTGTTTATGGTGTATTTTTCTATGAAGATTTTTTAAAATTTTTAATCTTGTCTAATTTTTCTATTGCAGCTTGATAATGTTTTAATATTTTATAGAACTAATCTCTCCTCATTTTTTATTTAAGAATTCTGAATATACTTGTTCATTTATTTTTTCCGCATTATTTTAGAATCATCTTGTCTAGTTAAAAAAAGTTTGACATTTGTATTTGAATAATGTTAGATTCATAGATTATTTAGAATTAACATCTCTATAATGTTAAATCAACTTTTCTTAACATGATATGCCTTTCCATGGATTCAAGTCTTTTATGACCTTCAATAATATTTTATATGTATATAGTTTTATAGGTTGTTAAATTTAATCTTTTCACCATCTTTTTATCTACTATATTTTCTGATTTAATATATATGTGTACACATATATACATGAAAGCTATTGGTTTCTATAAGCAGTTTCATATTTTGTACCCAAACTATTACTGAATTTACCTGAAAGAATCCAAGAGAACCACCTACAGTATGATGTTAACATTTCACCATTAAGTATGATTGATTTCTTTTTTAAGAAATGCTTTATGGGATTTTAAAGCTTTCTATTTTTAGTTTAAAAGAATTTAAAATTTTTAACAAATGCTTTCTCTGCAAAGGATGTAAGTAGGATGGGCTCCTCTATTCCCATTGATGCAGCAGAATTGGAGCTTCCTGCTCCATCAAGCTGAGGCTCTGCTAGATTTGAGTTTTTGTTTCCCAGGGTAAAATTCTTTCATCAAGGGGTACAACAAATGTTCTTTTTTTTTTTTTTTGCTTATGTAAATTATTTTTATTATAATGTTTGGTAAAAATATATCAATATAATCTTGGTATAAATGCCTTATGCTTATATAGCTATAAAACCAAAACATATAAACAAATTCAATATAAATAAAGTCAAATAAGCTTCACTTGAACAATATTTGATGTGACACTTGATGTCGTTTTGTTGAAATTAAGACCCTACCTGAAATGTGAATCGGTATGATATAGATTCTTTGGAGTTCAGTGATCCATCTCACAACTCTTGACTGCCCATTGGGGAAGATGCCTGACCTTGGGGAGGGGGAACAACAAATGTTCTATTAAACTGGACTTTGAGACCAACACCTGGCTCTTTGAGTTTCTAATGCCAGTGAACCACCAGGAAAAGAAGGGGTTACTGTACTTGCTGAGATGAATGATCCTGCACAATACACAATGGAGGACAAGGTCTGGAACACAGGAGAGTCTCTGAGGGGCCTCTTAGTACTCCTATGTCTGTGAGAAAATTAATAGAAAACTTCATCAATTGCTAATGATTCCAGACTTTTAGGAATGACAGTTTGCATCACCCCAGTAGGCAACAGCCTAAAACCTGAAGTGTTTGCTAAGAGCAAAGAGATATGGAATGGATAGTGCTAGAAGGAAGATAGAAATACCAGCAGTAACCACATGTTCAGTTATAAAAACAGGGCCTGTAGTAGTTATGAGTATTTCATCCCAACTTTGAAGTGAATGTGTGTATTCTTTTCTTTCCATTTCAGTTCTTTTTCTTTGCTCTCTCCCCACCTTCTCTTCCCCTGTTATCTAACCTAAGATGTGTTAATAATGGTTAACCTTATGGCCTGGTATTTAGGTTACAGGATATCAGAGGGGTAGTGTGATGCAACCCAATGAGGAATGGACATCTCCAGTGACTGAGGTGATGTGGAACTCTATGTCCTCTGGGGAGAGGGTAAGTTTTGATTTGTACAGGGATAGATGAATCATTTTAAGTGGAAGCATAATTTTTCTACTGTCTTTATTTGTAAGTTAAGTATGGCTGGAAGTAAATATATCAGAACCCATTTTTAAGGTTTATGATTAGAGTGAGTCAACAGAGAAACTGCATAAGATTTGGAAGTCAGAGACAAAGCAGCTGCCATTACTTTCTGAAGGTTTCCATGGTTAGGTGTGGTGAGTGAAAGACGCAGAGACAGCAAGAGATCCAGGTTACCTTCACACTCTCTCCTCTGGATGCGACTCTTCCTCCCACCTGCCAGTCCTACTGAGCCACAGCACCCCAGGCTGACCACCGTCCATGGGGGCAGCAGCTTTCTGTAGATGTCACCAGCTTTCCTTCACAGTCTCCCCTGGCAGCTGCCTAGATTCTCTTTCAAGCTCCCAACTTGCTTCAGTGCTTCAGGAGGCTGGCTAGGAGATTGTCTCTGATCCACCAGCTTCCCTTTGGAGGAGGGCCATCTTCTTCCACAATTGTTCTTCTTATTCCTACAATAACCCTTTATTCCATAATACCCATAGTAGTTCTGCTCTCCTGATGGAACCCTGACTATCACACTCATATTCCTTTCTACCTTCAGAAATTACTATCTCTGATCCTTCCAACATTTACATTTGATTTTATTCGATATTATTAATGTATTCCTCATAGGTTGTAGGTTTCAGAGCTAAGCAAGCCAGCCTCCCTCCTATCCCAATTGAAATTTTCCCATTCAGTCACCAGGGACAAAGCAGTAACCCTCTCCCCACTCTGAGGAGGGCTGTCCAGTGTGTACCACAACAGAGAAGTCACTGAAGAGGAGAATACACTTCACTTATGGACAGAAAGTCCCAAGAGAAAGAGAGGTGGACCTGCATTGTCTGTGTTTCTCCAGAATGATGTAGTCATGGATGTCATGCTCTCCCAAGTTTCACCAGGCAGATAAGTTACTCCTCCCAGGAAGAGCAAGTGATGATCTCTGAGGAACCCCACAAGTGTAGATTCTAATGTAGTCCAGTCTTTGGGTGTAGGGGACAGCACCTCACTGGAAACTTGGGGACCTGAGACTTGGGGTTCCACCTTGACACATTTCACTTGCCCTTCTGTCACTGCAGCTTGAAGATCCTTCTTGTAAATATTTACTTTAGTTATGGCTACCTGGACTAACATTTCCTATTTATAATTCTATAGACTGACTGACTTATTACTCATGTCAACCCCTTCTTGCCTGTATGAGTTCTTTCTTAAAGAACCATAAATTCTACCATATGGGAAAACATAATTCTATACTTGCTTTCCCATTATCCCGTGATGCTAGGGATTATCCTGAATCGCTGTTCTGGCCAGTGAGCCATAGAAATCTGCAAAGTGGAGTGTTGTTCTTGAAAACCTTCTGTTTTCCTAATAAAAGGTGATAGACACAGGTATCACCAACCCTCTCTCCTTCTTCCTGTCTTGCACATGCAAGTATCTTCTAATGCTATTTGTTGAGACAACAAAAACAACAAAGGAAACGTCATTATGCATATAAATAACCCTCACCAATTATTCTGAACTGGGAAGGGGAGGGTCTTGGCTAGAGGATACTTATGTCAGATTTGGATGCTTTCTGCCTGTCTGTCATTAATTATAAGGCTATCAAATAATAAGTCTGATCATTAATATTTTTTTCTCAACATGGTTACCTTAGTTACAAAAAAAAAAATTTAGTACCTTTTTCCTGGGCTCTCACGTTGTTAGTACCTTAGCGGTTCTCAAATGTGAGTGTACATCAAGAACACCTGGATGGTTTGTTAAAATACAGATTTCTGGGCTTCTCTGGTGGCGCAGTGGTTGAGAGTCCGCCTGCCGATGCAGGGGATACGGGTTCGTGCCCCGGTCCGGGAAGATCCCACATGCCACGCAGCGGCTGGGCCCGTGAGCCATGGCCTCTGAGCCTGCGCGTCCGGAGCCTGTGCTCCGCAACAGGAGAGGCCACAACAGTGAGAGGCCCGCGTACCGCAAAGAAAAAAAAAAATACAGAGTTCTGGGACCCATGAAACCCATCCCCAGTTTCTGATTCAGTAGGTCTGGAATGGGTCTAAGAATTTGCATTTCTAATATGTTCCCAGGTGATGGTAATGGTACTGATCTGGGGACCACGCTTTGAAATTTGCTCTTTTACAGTATCAATGCTGTGTTGTCTTTTTCCACACTTATTTTGGGCTAATAGACCCCAGATGATGTCAGATTCTGTGAGCAGGCGTATTATGTTAAATTTTGATAAAGTAGAAGTGCTGAAGTGACTCAAATGCAAAAAACACATTATCAAAAGTTGCCTTCTCAAAAAGAAAATAGTTTTCTTCTCACATCTCTTTAATGATTTCTTGTACAAATCTCTTTAAATTTTAGGAACAATATGTAAAAAGAATAATTAATAATCAGTATTTCTTAACACATGAATTTTTAACAAAAATTAAGTGAGAAAGTTAAACCACTTTCTGGTTTGATAATAATTGAATACTTTACTTTTTTTGAGTGGGGGGGAACTAATGGAAGACCACATGATTTTAATTTAGTTTTGGATGTCATTGGTTTAATAGCATTTTTATCAAGCATCCTTCTAAGGATAAACCTATTGGAAGATAATGTATTATCAAATAGACTGGTCTAATTTTCTATTTGCAAGTTAAATGAATTAATACACCTGACATTTGCTTTATCTTCATATGCAACTGGAATTTTCTGATGTATGCTTTGATGATTACTATCATTCAGCTTTCTTAAAGAACCTAGGCATCTCATTAGTATTCTCTTACTGAGCAGTGTGATCATTTGTGCAGCAGCTGGAGAAGGATCATATATTTCACTGGACTCCTTGGATTAATGGCAAGAAATGCTCTGGTAGTAACCCATGAATAAAAAACAGGAACCTGGGGCTTCCCTGGTGGCGCAGTGGTTGAGAGTCCGCCTGCCGATGCAGGGGACACGGGTTCGCACCCCGGTCCGGGAAGATCCCACATGCCGCGGAGAGGCTGGGTCCATGAGCCATGGCCTCTGAGCCTGCGCGTCCGGAGCCCGTGCTCCGCAACGGGAGAGGCCACAACAGTGAGAGGCCCACGTACTGCAAAAAAAAAAAAAAAAAAAACAGGAACCTTTCAAAAAGCTTCTCATATTAATGAGCTTATCTTTTTCAGAGTAAGTGATTTTTTTTTTAATGCTTATAATAAAGATCTACTTGGCTCTCTATCTAGTATTTCTCTACCACCAAATCTAGGAAGGCATGGTCTCTCTCCATCTATAGTTTCAGCCCCACCCAGCAATTTGAGGTCAGTTCTGGCTTTGATCGAGAACCATTTTAAAAACCCTGCAGGATGAAGGTCTAGCTCTAATCAGGTGTCTAGATTCCACTACGCAGTCTTTAATCTTTTAATTAAATCCTACGTTAAAATGAAGTTCTAATAAATGGATTCCTAATCTGCCACCTGTGTTCTGGTTTCCTATACAGAACCCTAACTCCTTCATGACTGGGGCCTTGTCTACTGTCCAGGTCTTCCAAGAAGTACAACCTGACTCTCTCCCATAATCTGACTCCCTGCCCTATGCTGTAAGGAATCAAGTGTATCTGCCACTGGACGATCAGATCATCATAACCAACACCTGTGTAGGGCCTTACCTTTGACAAACCACTCTTATTTTTTACACATTCTCTTCTTTGATCATCAGAAATGTTCAGGTGAGCCTGGTGATAGTACTTCAGTTTAATTTAATTACAGAGAATCTAAGGCTCAGAAGGATTAAATAAATTGCCCTGGGTTCCTGAGCTAGTAAGTAATCAACAATGATATGCAGTTGGGTTCTCTGAACATAAACTCAGTACTGTTTTGAAACCAGCAGAATGCATCTCAGGACTTGGTAGAGTGTAGGTTCTTCTGTCTTGGCACAGAAAGAATTCAGCGAGAGGCAGAGTGACAGGTAGGAAAGAATTTATTAGTATAAGACACTTGTGAGACATACAAGCGGGAGGGCAAGGGAGTGCCACCCCCAGAACTTAGTGGGCTACAGTTTTCTAATCAAAGGAAAAGTGGAGGGGGTAGAAGACCACCTTCTTCCTCATTCTTGAGTAGACATCAAGCTTCCTTCATCAGCTTCTCCTCCCCCTCCATGTCGGGCAGGGGAGTTTTCTTGTCCCTACATGGTCAAACTGGGACTGTCATGGCACAGTGGAAATGAGCAAAAAGGTTGTAACATATACTAAAATATGGTAAATCATCTCAGGTTTCAGTATAATGTCACCTTTTCCTTAGATTTTTGTTTTTAGTGCACACAGAGAAGCATGTCCTAGGAATCATTAAGTTACTGACCTCACTGGGCAGGATGTGGATCTCATTTCACCATTGTTTTATTGTTTTGAGACATGTCTCATGCTTCTGTTGCACGGTTTTGTTGCTAAGCAAGCTTGCTAGGTTTTGTGGTTAAGCAAACCTGCTTTCTTGAGTGATCATTAACTTACAGGGGTTTCCCAAACTTTTTTATACTTACAATCCCCTAGTGGGATTAACTATTTAATCTCCTACTTTGGCCTTTATTCTGTCCCTATCAGTTTTTCTTAACCCTCCTCATGTACCAGACTTCTCTGAAATTCTGGCCGTTACTTCTGCCTGAACTTCTTTCTCATGCCTGCCGTTGGGACCTTCTCTAGGGTATCCTGTTCTCCAGATGAAACAGTCTTGCCCATTTTGCCTGTCCTGCTCAAAACTCATGAGAAGGAAAAAAAAAAAAAAAAAGGACTCTGAAATGTTTTATTGTTTTGCTACACCTGAGTTGAATTAAAGCACAGTCACAAAAGATACATAGAGACTAGGAAGAACAAATCAGCCAAAACAAAATTCTGTCTCATATATAAGTTTCCCTTCCTTTTGATTGCTCCCTTGAAATTGCTTATTCTAAGGTGAGGGAGGAGCTCCCTATCAAATCTGAGTTATTTTTCAGTTTTCATGTCTTCGCCTCTATGGCATCAGGAATTCCTTCTCTGTGATACAGTCTTTTTATTTCTTTGGTCACATCTCAAGTCCACATTCTTGGGGAAGGAGTGTAGAAGAGTCGGGAGAAGGGGGTTGAGGACTGGGAAGCAGAATATCTAAATGCAATTCCTGACACCAGCTTGTTGATTTAGGTGAATTGCCTAACTTCTCTGGGCAGGGTGGGAATGGCCAAGGGTGCTGGCATATGGAGAGAGACTCGCTATCAGCCTAAGGCAGATCAGGCCCTGTGCAGTGTCCCACCACACCTTCCTCTCAGTAAAATGGAGGTAATATTTGCTTCCCTTACATTCCTTCCAACTGAGACTCACTTAACTTTTTTTGTAAATAAAATGCCCTGTAATTGAGAAAATTAATATTACTACTTTGTTTTTACATCATTTTATATTTTCCAAGTGTTTTTGCATGTTTCTTTACACTTATAAACTTGAAACTTAGAGACGTTAAGTAATTATTCCAAGGGTGCAAAATTAGAGCAGAAAGCGGAACCAAATTGCCTGTATTCTTATCCTCACTTTCCTCTACACACACGGTTATTATTACCTTGACCCTGGATTACAATCACGTGGAGCTTTGCTCTATTCATTCCCTCCTTTATTTCTACAAGCAGTAACTAGAGACCACTTCCACAAAAATACTTGTTATGGGTCTCTATTCTATGCAGTGTGTCTGACTGTGCATAGTGCTTTGAGATACCAAAATCTACCTGAGTAAGGGAAGTCTTTTGCACTTAATAAATGCTTGAAAGAATTAGAGGTGGAAAAAAAGAACTGGAGAAGAGAGAAATGCTGGCTGCCTGATGATCATGGGCTCCGCTGCTGAATATAAGAGCTACTAGGCACATGCAGCTACTAAGCACTTGAAATGTGACTCGTCTAAACTGAGTTGTGTTATAAGGGTGAAATACACACTAGATTAATGTGTGTATCTTCATATTAAAACAATGTAAAATTTCTCAATCATTTTTAGATTGTCCACATATTTTGGATATATGGATTTAAATAAAACATTACCTGTTTAATTAATAAAATTAAATTCACCTGTTTATCTTCACGTGTTTGTTTGTTTGCTTTTTGTGTTTTTTTGTTTGTTTTGTTTTGTTGTGCGGTTCACGGGCCTCTCACAGTTGTGGCCTCTCCCGTTGCAGAGCACAGGCTCCGGACGCACAGGCTCAGCGGCCATGGCTCACTGGCCCAGCCGCTCCGCGGCACGTGGGATCCTCCCGGACTGGGGCACGAACCCGTGTACCCTGCATCGGCAGGCGGACTCTCAACCACTGTGCCACCAGGCAAGCCCTATCTTCACCTTTTTTAATGTGACTACTAGAAAATTTAAAATTATTCACGTGGCTTGAGTTCCATTGCTATTAGACAGCACTGCTTTTAGTCATTAATTCACCACCTTCCATTTCCTAAGTTGCTTCTTTCCTTCTCAGTGTCTTTTGTGCATAAAACTTCTGCTCAAATCCATGTCTCTTCCTTCATAACTTGGCTTGTCACAAAGTTTGACCCCAGTCAATTAACCAGCCTATACTTAAAACCAAGTACCATTACAATATTAACCTTCATACACCATATGAATTATTCTGTTTCTTATTTCTAAAAAGAAGACCCAGTTTTCATGAAATTTCAAAGATAATGCCTTTTTTTTTTGACATTGTTCCAGGATACCTAGTGTAGCTCTAAGTGTATCAAAATGGGCTTGAATGCTATCCTGCAGACTTCTGAAGTCATCAACCTAAGAGACAGCCCCACTGATCCTTCCCTTCAAATGGACAAACTGCCAGGCACACTAGGTGGCCTTAATAACAAAATGTAAACTAAAAATAAATAAATAAAATAACAAACCATTCCCTACCTCTTTTTTCACCTCTATTCTTTTAGGCCAAAATATCATTTCCCTGCTATATTATTACAGTTATCTCCTGCCTAAATTCTTTGCTCCTAGTTTCCCCGTCAATTCCATCCTGAATCTCACTGTCAATTCAATCTTCCTAAAATATTTTCATTTCATTATTTTCATGTCAAACTTTGCTGAAAAGTCTTCAATGGCTTCCGATAGCCCAGAGCAATAATTCTCAAACTGGGCTTCACTGAAACACATGATTTAGCTCATTAGCATTAACATTTCTTGACCAGAGCAATGATTTCTTGCTCTACATATCATGTTCAATATTTCTACTAGTTTCTTGAATATATGGAATACAGTTTGGTAACTGTTTCAATGTTCTTATCTACTAATTCTATCATCCATGTCATTTCTAGGTCAGTTTTGATTGATTTTTTTGTTCTCATTTTAAGCTGTATTTTCCTGCTTCTTTGAATGCCTGGTAATTTTTTAACTGGATGCCAGAATTTTAGTTTATTGGGTGTTGGACATATCTGTATTCCTCTAAATATTTTTGAGCTTTTTTTCTGGTATGCAGTTGAGTTACTTGGAAACTGACCCTTTCAATTCAGATTTTGAAGCTTTATAGGAAGTACTAGCACAGTGCTTAGTCTTGGGCAAATTTTCCCCGCTATTGAGGCAAAACTTTTTTGAATATTCTTCCTGATTTCCCATGAAGTATGAGATTTTCCACTCTGAGTTGGGGAAACAGGAACTATTTCTGGTGGACTCTGACAATTCTCCTCTGGTCCTTTAGGGTGGTTCTTTCTTCATAGGAATGTACTGATCACTACTCAGCTGAGGACTTGGGGAAGATCCTCTGAAGGTACCCAGAACTCTCTCTCTGAGCAGCTCTCTCCTTTCCAATGCTCCGTTCTATGAACCCTAGCCACCCTGGTCACTTCAGACTCCCAGGTCCATCTCCTTAACTCAGGAAGATGGCTGAAAACTCCCTATGCCCTGGCCTGGCAACTCTCCAAGCAGTCACCTGGGGCTGTCATGGGGTTCACCTTGTCTGTTTCATCTCTAAAGGATCATTGCCCTTCCTTGCTTGTTGAATAATGACTAGTAAACCGTTGTATCACATCTCCTGTGAATATTTTTAGCTGTTTTAGGTAAGAGGGTAAATCTACTCCATCTCCCCATCTTGCTAAATACAGAAGTTTCAGTCAAGATGCTTACATTGTAGTTAGTTTGAAAAATGTATTTGGCCTTTAAAAGAATATTTTTTAAATCTAGAGTAAAATCTAAACTCCTTAGCCAGATAGCCAAAGCCCTCCACAATCTGCCCTCAGTATGAATTTCAAGTGTATTGTCAAGTTGCAGGCAGAATGACTAAATACAGCTTGTATGTCTCCACCTCTTTATCCACAGGTCTTCCCATGCTGTCACTGCAACACCATCTTCCTGGCTACCTTCCTCTTATCTGATCCTCTATTTTGGTCTAATAATTTTAGTTGCATTTACCTCATCTTACCAATATGATCATGTGCTCTTTTAAGATGGGAACTGTGTCTGATATTTTTATATTTTTCCCAAAAGCTTAACACCAAGACTGGGCAGTGAGTGGATATTCAACATATGTTTGTAATCTGTCTAAGAAAATGTTGAATAGCCTGACAGCAGGAGCCTGGAGTTTTATTCTTGCTAGTCTTAATTTGCAGCACACAAATTACTATATGACAGAATAAAAATAGGCTATGATGTAACTTCTGAGTAATCATGAGATGACATTATAAGTGTAATCAGCCTACTTTTAAAAAATCCAGACAGATGGTAAAACATTCCATGTGATTTTATTCTGTGTGCTCTGTGTCCAATCCAGCAACACACAACTTCTCACTTTCCTTTTCTCAGACACCAAGGGTCGTGGTGCTGAAATTTTCCAGCACTCCAGGTCTGTTCTCTGTACCTGGTAGGACGGAGTATGTCATGTCACCTTCTCTCTTTCCACTGATACCAAAGCTGCATGAATCTAATTATTTACTGAAAATAGTTGTCTCTGGGACCAACCCAGAGACAAAGGGCCAAAAGGGTGAAGATTGTGGCCTCTGGTGTCAGCCTGCCTGACTTTGAGTACTGGTCCTACTGGATATTAACACTGTGACCTTGTGCAGTCACTCCCTCCCCAAGACTCGATTCCTTCCCTATAAACAGGAGATGATAACAGTACCCAGAGCACAGAGTCTTATAGGAGCTTAGATCTTCCTGCCACACTCAGTGTGAGTTTAGTGCTTTTGAAATGAATTGAGACGTATGCTCAACCTCCTAAATTGGGTCATTGCTCTTTAAGGACAAAATTCCTAACTATGTTGTTTGAGTGTAGAAAGTCACAGCCATTATCCCTGATTTTAATGTGTCTGTGAGCTCAACCTGTTTCACCATGAAGACTATTGCAAGAAGTTGAAGATCCAAAGAAATGCATTATATACCTGCCTATTAGTCTTGCCAGGATATGGCCATTCTTAATTAGTGAGAAACTGAATAAATTCTACTCCTATATGCCCCAATGTAGTTACAGTTCTTTTATAATAATTATTGCCACCCACTGAATACCTTCTCTCTTCCATGTACTGTTCTGAGGACTTTATAGATATAATTTTATTTAAAATAAAAACCTTAAGATGTAGGCATAATATGGATGAGAAAACTCAGGAACTTGCTCAGTGTCACCTTGTTAGGTACGAGTGGAGTTGGAATTCACACTCAAGCAGCCTGACTTCGGAGGCTACTGCTTAACCTCTAGGCTCTTCTGATAAACCAAAACAAGATTTTGTCTATGGTGACATATTTGTCAAACCCCAAATTGGCCTGACTAGTGTAGATACTGAGAAGTTCTGAGACATGGTCAACACAAAATAGGAATGGTGGAAGTTCATTCTAGACATTATTTGGGGGTGGGACGGGTGATGATTTTTTTAAAAATGAGAAGCTACCTAGAATAACGTAAATTGTCTCATAAAACATAGCCTCTACAGCTGAGAGTCCTTTGCAGTGGGAGGTAGTAAAGGATATTTCCATGTAGATCTGTGCTGGGACGGGGAGCCCTGGGGGGAAGACATTCCTCTCTTGGAGTCTGGAGGCGTACTATGTGTGCCAGTGTCTAAGTCACCAGAGCAAGGTTAAGTGAGCCTGGTCTTTTTTTTTTTTTTTTTTTTTTTTGCGGTCCGCGGGCCTCTCACTGCTGTGGCCTCTCCCGTTGCGGAGCACAGGCTCCGGACGCGCAGGCTCACCGGCCACGGCTCACGCGCCCAGCCACTCCGCGGCACGCGGGATCTTCCCGGACCGGCGCACAAACCCGTGTCCCCTGCATCGGCAGGCGGACTCTCAACCACTGCGCCACCAGGGAAGCCCTAGACGCTAAATTTTAAGAGCCACTTCTAGCAGGATACCTTTTGGACTCCCCAATTAGAAATATTAAGTATTATATTAATACTTTATATATTAATTTATTATAGTATAGCATAGTAATATATTCTAGTATTATATTAATACTTAATATTAAGTATTAAGGTGTGAGAACATAGTTGAGAGCTCTTCAAGATGAATTAGTTACAGATAATGTAAATGAATTTTAACCCACTGCATGTGATCTGTTTTCAAATTCTTTTTTTTCTGAGACAAGTGCATCAGATAAGTCTAGTCCTCATCTCTTTCCTCAGTCACATACATGACAAGTTTTCATAAAATCAAGGCTTAGGGTTTGTGGTGTAGACCAGATGGGCTGGAGTTTATGACCAGGTGTCAGCTAGATGCGTCCATTGGAGAAAACATGTGTGAGTGATTGCAAGTAATATGTATTAATGTATGGATATTTTCAAATCTGTTCTAATTTATATATTTTTTAATGTCATATCAAACATTTATTATATATATCACTGATTCTCTGCATATTCTAATTTTTTAAATAAAAATCACTGGAGGGGCTTCCCTGGTGGCACAGTGGTTAAGAATCCACCTGCCAATGCAGGGGACACGGGTTCAAGCCCTGGTCCGGGAAGATCCCACATGCCGCGGAGCAACTAAGCCCTTGCGCCACAACTACTAAACCTGCGCTCTAGAGCCCGCAAGCCACAACTACTGAGCCTACGTGCTGCAACTACTGAAGCCCGGGCACCAAGAGCCCGTGCTCCGCAACAAGAGAAGCCATCATAATGAGAAGCCCGTACACTGCAAAGAAGAGTAGCCCTTGCTCACTGCAACTAGAGAAAACCTGCGCGCAGCAACGAAGACCCAACACAGCCAAAAATGAATAAATAAATATTATATTCTCTAAAAAAAAAAAGAAATATACAATTGATCAAA